GGCTGGGAGCCACTTCCTGCTCCTCAGAGCCCTGTCTCATGCTCGGTAGCCCTGCCAGCCACTGCCAATGGAGGGTCCCAGGGCAGAAAGCTCATCTTGTGTGGCAACAACAGGGGCATGCAGGCCTCTCGATGAGCTCTGAGCTAGTGCTGGTTTCCATGAGCAGGGCACCCGTCACTCTCCACTCCCAGCCCCAGCAGCTGTGAGATTGCCCAGATAAGGAGCAAAGCCCCAATATCCTTTCTCAAGGGAGGCTGGCCCCAGCCTGAGAGGCTCTCCAATGGGAGGCTAGTGTGTAAGGGTCACAACACATCAAGCTCTCAACTGTACTGGAGGGAGAGAGGAAGTTCATGGTCCCAGAAACTGACCACTCTAGGCAGCTGCCTAGTTTTTCTAAAGGTAGAGTGATTCCCTCAATATACTGCCCATGCTGTATCTGGCACATCAAGTAGAAAGATAAAAACCCAAAAAAGAACCAGAAAAGAAACTGCCCAGGCATCAAAAACCTGAAAACACCAATATTCAAAACAATAAGGCATTAGATCTACGGGACTTAATTGTACAGACAGACTATTTGTTGCACTAGAATTATGCTATGCAGCATTCCATTCATCCATGCAAATGTGGGTTCAAACCCAGATTAGGTCATAAGTGAAATGGATTTAATACTCCAACTGTGGCCAGACAGATCTTCAAAATCGACCAAGTCATTTTTCCATTGATACATCTAGGTCACGATGGTAGTTTCTTTTTTATGCCATACAGCGTGCCACAAATTAGTAGAAAAGAAATAAAATAATACTCACCAGTCTCTTCAAAAAAATACCCATTTCTGGACATCGCTGCCGGTGGACTTTCTAAAAAAATAAAAAGGAGAAAGACAGATTAAGTGGGGGAAAGCATAATGAATTTGAATACTTTGGTTTCATTGCTTAGAGCATCAAACGCCCGCAGACAGACGGAAGAAAACGATTACAGACATTAATGATTTATTCTGTTACTGACAAGTTTAACCTTTTGTTTACTGATGTTCACATTTCCCAGAATGTTCAATACAATCACCATCTCCTGCAAGAAGTGTTTAAAAAACTCAAGTTTCAGCTGTCCTGTCTGCATGTGGGGCATCCAGCACAAGATAGCACATTAGTAAACATCTGTGCAAGCCCAATTACGTCGGCGAGACCTGTCAGATCTGAAGGAACATATTGGTGCAAGTATTAACACAAAAGTCTTCCGAGGGACGACCCTATCAACATGAGTAAATAATGGCATCCAACTGGTAAACACAAATATGGCACTGTAGGCTTTGATAATTAATTAGAATGAAATCTTTGCTTAGAGGAGAGCTTGACTTTATAATCCATTCTGCTCCTTTTAACAAACCAGCAGGGGCACCTGAACGAGAGGTTTGCCCCTGGTGACAAACATACGCATGTCTTCTTCTGCCCGCTGACCAACTCTGCATGCAGCCAACAGATGCCATTTCTTCCAGCTAGGAATGTAAAATCCTGATTAATTAACCAACTAATTAAATGTTAAATCAACTTAACATTTAATCCAGTGGTGGGTAAAAGAGCCTCTGCAGGCCGGATCCACCCCACCGAGACCAATCAGAGCATAGGGATGGGGGAGTGCACAGCGCTTAGTAAACCCAGGTAGTTGACTCTAAACGCCGTGCGCCGGAGGGCAGGAAGCGAAAGACTTCGCGTTCCTCCTGCCCCCAAGCCAATCAGGGAAAAGCACGAAGTTTCCTCCCACCCTGCAAGGGGCTCGACACTTATGAGTCAACCTCCAGCTGCTGCTTAGCTGGCAGGTGACTAAGCACTGCGCTCCCTTGCAGAGCGGGGGCAGACTTCACTTGCTGCCCCTTCCCCAATGCCCTGAGTGACCTGAGGATGGAGAGGGGAGAGTGCACAAAGTCTCCTCCGACCCGTCAGGGGCACAGGCACCTAGAGGAAAACGCCAGCTGTTCAGAATGGCTGGTGGTTCTCTCTGGGGAGGGCAGGATCAAAGACTTCACGGGCTCCCCCACACACAGACCAATCAGGGTCCATGGGCGGAGAAGCACAGAAGTGTCCTGGCCCCTCCCCTTCCACCTAAAGCCCCTCCCCTTCCTGGGTTGCCCAAAGCCACCTCAAAAATTTCTCAAGTAGCCCCTGGTCAAAAATTATTGCCCACCCCTGGTTTAACCAATTAACCAGGGATCTAGCCTCAGGGCTCCCTGCCCCACCAGCTCTCAGCCCCGCTGGGGCAGCCCTCTTCCTCCCACCTACTGCAGAACAGATGTTTCATGGAATTCGGGACGCTCCAGAGGAAAGGGGAGGAGCCAGAACTGAGCATGCTCAGGGGAAAAGGTGGGAGGGGGGGGCTTGTGGAATCTCCAGAAGGATGTTGGAATGGGGGTTGAGCAAAGGCGGGGTGCAGAAGCAGCTGCTCCTGGCCAGAGGGGATGTCCCTGCCTATCGCTAAGTTCACTCAAGAACCAGCAGTTGCGCAAAGTATGATTGACACGCGGCTGTCGAAGGACAAAAGGCTGAAATTGGCCCTGTCCATTCTGAAGGACGATGTGGCTAACTGCCTCCTCTTAGACACGTATGTGCAATTTTGGCATTTGTGCCAGGTTGAATTTTTAAACCCACAACTAAACAATTCAGACTGCTGGCGCCGGATAAGTCAACCCCCCTTTTAAAAAGGCAAAAGAATGGCCACTCTTCATGAGCCTACCTCTGCTCATCCCCCGCATGGCCCTGCCTCTGTCCAGACAGAAGCCAGAGCCAGGTCACAGTATGAGCTCTATGGAGAGCCCCAGATCTTCCACGTGCTCACTTCACCTCTCCACCGGGAAGAGCTGGCCCTGCCCCTGAACCTCGAGTAGGGATAGGAGGGGTCTGCAGGCAATCTGGGAAAAATGCTGTCCCGGAGTTTTCAGCCCAGGAGCGGGACTTGAACCTTGCACTTTGGGACCATCTCCCCTCCCCCAATTTGGAATGGGCAGTCCCCATAGTTTAGGACCACTGAGTGCTTGGCGTGCTGCCCACTTCTCTGCCCCTTCCTAGGGTTGCCAGGTATCCAGTTTTGAACTGGACAGTCCGGTATTTGAGCTTTCTGTCCGGTAAATAAATTGAGGAAATACCAGACACATAAACGTCCAGTATTTTCTAATTAGGTACGTTTTAGTATTAGGAGTATCAGTACGTAGTTGTGTACTGCCTGGCTAGTAGACAGGCTCACGCTGCGTGAGTGTGTCTACCAGCCAGGCAGTAGGCAACTACATAGTAGAGGGGGGAGAACAGCAAGGGGGTGGGACCGGGATGAAATTCCTGGGACCAGACTCGCCCATGCACCCTGCTGGGACTATGCTCGGAATGAGCAGCACCCCAGGATCTGCGTACGCCCAGGCCAGACCCACTGGCCAATCGTCCCCCGACCCCTCCTGGCCGGTCCCCCCCGCCCGCCATCTGAGATTAAGTGTGTGTGTA